ATGGCAGGAGTACCCCCAGAATGATGGGAGTGCCCCCCAGAATGGCAGGAGTACCCCCAGAATGAAGGGATTGCCCCCCAGAATGGCAGGAGCCCCCCCAGAATGAAGGGAGAACCCCCCAGAATGGCAGGAGCACCCCCTGAATGAAGGGATTGCCCCCCAGAATAACTGGAGACACCCCCCCCCCCCCCATATTTTTTTGGGGGGGAAAACTTGGTATTTTAATCATCCGTAGGACACAGGAGAGTCTTTTGGGGAGAAAACCTTTGTATTTGAACAATCCGTGGGACACGGGAGAATCTTTTTGGGGAGAAATCTTTGTATTTTAATAGTCTGTAATGCAGCCACGGGAGAGTTTGGGGGTTTTTTTGGGGGGGGGGGAAAGATCATGTTTTTGGTAATCTGGGGGCCGTGGCGATGTCTTTCCTGTCACTCGACAGAGCTTGGAAGGGTGACAGAGAGGGAACCTCTCGTCCCCTTGTCCCCTCCCCCTCCTCCTTAAGCCAAATTTGGGTTGAATCATCCGAATTTTCCCCTTTTTTCTCCAACCCCTCTAAAATTCAGTGAAATTCAGTGAAACCAGGGCTGGGAGGGAGCAGTGTCCCTTTCCTGATGATTTTGAGCATCCTGGCGTCGCCCCGGGGCTCCGAGTCGCTGGAAAAGCTGCTCTGAGTGTGGGGATTTGTGCTGTGGGTGTGGTTTTTTTCCTGCTCCCATGTGGAAAACCTTTATCCTGCAACTAATCCATCTCTTCCCACTTTTCCAGCCAAGAAAGGCCCTGACGGTTTAGCTTTGCCCAACAACTACTGTGATTTCTGCCTGGGAGACTCCAAAATCAACAAGAAAACGGGGCAACCGGAGGAGTTGGTCTCATGCGAGACTCAGAAAAGCCTTTTACAGCCCCAAACTCCATAATTTTCACCCCAAAATGTCGCTGTATCAATACATAAATCCGAGAGGAATCGCTTTTCTTCCTCCTCCTCCTCCTCCTCTTCCTCCCACTTCAGCTTGTGCTGACTCAGCAGCGAAGCAAAAATCCGAATCTCAATGACACCTCACCCCCTGCCCGTTCCCTGCCTTCACCCATCCTCTGCCCATCCCCTGCCCTCACCCATCCCCTGCCTTCACCCATTCCTTGCCTGTTCCCTACCCATCTCCTGCCTGTGCCCTTCCTCCCTGCCCATTCCCTGCCCTCACCCATTCTCTGCCTGTCCTCTGCCTTCACCCGTCCCCTGCCCATCCTCTGCCCACCCCCTGCCTTCACCTGGACCCTGCCTCTCTGCCTGTCCTCTGTCCATCCTCTGTCCATTCCCTGCCTCCCTGCCCATCCCCTGCCTGTTCCCTGCCCTCACCCATCCCCTGCCTGTTCCCTGCCTTCACCCA